CTTCATCAGATGCAAGTGAAGTGAGGTTCTTACCCACGAAAGCTTATGCTCCCAAGACTTCTGTTAGTCTTAAAGGTGCCACAGGACCCTCTGTTGCTTTTTACAGATTCAGACTAACACGGCTACCCCTCTGATATTTAGCAGTTTAGTATCATCTGCAAACTTTGCCACCTCACTGTTTACCCCTTTCTCTAGATCATTTATGAATAAGTTGAATAGGATCGGTCCGAGGACTGACCCTGGGGGAACACCACTAGTTACCCCTCTCCATTCTGAGAATTTACCATTAATTCCTACACTTTGTTCCCTGTCTTTTAACCAGTTCTCAATCCATGAAAGGACCTTCCCTTTTATCCCATGGCAGCTTAATTTACATAAGAGCCTTTGGTGAGGGACCTAGTCAAAGGCTTTCTGGAAATCTAAGTACACTATGTCCACTGGATCCCCCTTGTCCACATGTTTGTTGACCCCTTCAAAGAATTCTAATAGATTAGTAAGACACGATTTCCCTTTACAGAAACCATGTTGACTATTGCTCAACAGTTTATGTTTTTCTATGTGTCTGACAATTTTATTCTTAACTATTGTTTCGACTGATTTCCCAGTACAGACGTTAGACTTACCGGTCTGTAATTGCCGGGATCACCTCTAGTAGCCCTTTTTAAATATTGGCGTTACATTAGCTAACTTCCAGTCATTGGGTACAGAAGCTGATTTAAGGGACAGGTTACAAACCTTAGTTAACAGTTCTGCAACTTCACATTTGAGTTCTTTCAGAAATCTTGGGTGAATGCCATCTGGTCCCGGTGACTTGTTAATGTTAAGTTTATCAATTAATTCCAAAACCTCTTCTCATGACACTTCAGTCCATGACAGTTCCTCAGATTTGTCACCTACAAAAGCCAGCTCAGGTTTGGGAATCTCCCTAACATCCTCAGCCGTGAAGACTGAAGCAAAGAATCCATTTAGTTTCTCTGTAATGACTTAATCGTCTTTAAGCGCTCCTTTTGTATATCGATCATCAAGGGGTCCCACTGGTTGTTTAGCAGGCTTCCTGCTTCTGATGTACTTAAAAAACATTTTGTTATTACCTTTGGAGTTTTTGGCTAGCCGTTCTTCATACTCCTCTTTGGCTTTTCTTATTACATTCTTGCACTTAATTTGGCAGTGTTTATGCTCCTTTCTAACCATTTATGTGCAGAGCTCTTACTAATTGGCCTCTCAGAGTTGGTAAGACAACTCCCACCTTTTCATGCTCTCTGTATGTATATATATATATATATATCCTCAATATATGTCCCATTCTATGCATCTGAAGAAGTGGGCTGTAGCCCACGAAAGCTTATGCTCAAATAAATTTGTTAGTCTCTAAGGTGCCACAAGTACTCCTGTTCTTTTTGCGGATACAGACTAGCACAGCTGCTACTCTGAAACCTTTCTAACAGCCATTACTCCAAACTCTGAGGATCTGAAAACCAAGCTTTTATCTGCCTCTTATATCATCTCTTGGTATAAAAATCTTGCCATCAACATATAGCTGATCATTTAGCAGATAATCTGTAAAGCAAGATAAAAACTAGCTTCCCTAGCTCCATAGGCTCTGTACCGCTAAAAGGAGCACTCACACTTTAAAGAACCAGTTCTGTTTAGTGCCATTTACTCTGTTACCTTCAATTCCAAAATGCTCTTACTGAGCATGCTTATCTCCTCACAAACCTGAACAGTTTCCTGAGAGACAAGGTCTTCACACTTTGTTCCCTCTGCTTGAATCAAATGGTAACAGTGGTGACTATGTGTATATAAAGTTGACAAATAATACAGGGCAGCTCTACCCTGCCTTTGAGTGCAGGGGAGCTGGAGATGAAAACGGCTTTTGTTGAACCTTTGTAAAGGTTTGATCTGCCAGCTCGGCCATTGAATTGCTGCTTGCACAAGCTACTGTGCCACCTTTCAACAAGACCTTGTTAGATGATCAGATTTTATTTTAATCACTTGAACACCCAATTTTCATTCTCAAAACCTGTCGGCGCACACTGTCTCTGCTGAGCTATTAATAGTTTGAGAGCCCCGGGTAAGGTAAAACATTAATGATGATTCAGGTCAGATTGGGGGAGCAGGGTTGTAAAGAGACCTAGAATGGCCTGTCCACGTCATGAGCTTATAGTAGTACTGCCTCAAGTGACATCGTGCAACCAGGAAAAAGAAGCAACTTTGGAAATTAACGAAGTAAAAAGGTGAGTGAGTGGCTATGGGTTTTTTTATAAAACATCATATGCTGTCTTTTTCACTAACTTAATAAGGCTGCCATTCCAAAATGAACATAAATAAAGAGAGAGGGATCCTTATGAGAGAGAGAAAATTAGGTTTGTTTTATTTGAGAAGTAAAAAATAAAAACTTTTTTAAAAGAACATTTCTCTTAGTGCATCCTAATTCTGTCAATTGCTTAAACAAACAAAATGACTCAAATATACTCTCTACGTTTCTATATTAAAAATAATTGTCGGTGTCTTGATTATAACTCTCAGTTGAGTCATGCTGAATTTTTCTCCCTAGGACCTTTCTGAGGAAGAAAATGTATCAACAGAAAGATAGTAACAACGTGAGCTGGAGTGATAAAGCCCTAGTGAGGTGCAGTATTTTGAACCTTAAGCCATGTTACAGTATCTAATGCTGCTTCTGTTTTTTGTTGTAATACCCAGAATGTGCTAGGTGCTGTACAAACACATAACAAAACATATAGTCCCTACCTCAGAGAACTTCTGCCTAAAGTTAATGCTAAGAGGAACAGGTTTTTGCTGAATACTGCAGAACTCTGAGGCCAGTAGTGATGTTTAGTAAAATAATTTGTCCCTTTGTGACCAAATTTATTTTCATAGCTACCAAAATTCATCCTTTTCAGGATACTGGGCCAGTCATTAAACAGAATCCTCCAGGGGTGAAAATACCTTGTTTTACTCTAGCATCTGAGGATCTCAAACCATACCATTGGCATTGCAGCACCCCTGTGAGATAGGCCAGCATTATTTTCACTGTTTGGGGACCTGAGGTAGTACGGATGAGTTAGGTCTCAAATTTTCAAACGTGACCTTTAATCTTGGATGCCCAACTTTAGCCAACTGGGGCCGGACTTTCAGAGATGCTGAGCACCTACAACTTCAGCTGAAGTCAATGAGGGCTGCAGTTGTCTTGCTTGGAACAAATTAGACTCTGCTTTTGAAAATTGCGCCCTATGTGATTTGCCCAAGATCGCATAGAGAGTTGGTGGCAGAGATGGAAATAGACCCCAGCTCTTCTAACTTCTAGTCCTGTACTCGAACAACAAGACCCATCCTTCCTGATCATAGCCTGTAGACAGAGGAACATCCAGATTCTAACACCTCATTTTTGTGATGTAGGTGTAGCAGAAGCAGAAAAGGCAATGGCTCTCTCAGCATGTGGTCCTGTCATAGTGTCTGTAAGGAGACTGAAATTCACTAATCTAATCCTAGCCCCTTGTTATTATGAACAGGCTGGGAGAATTGAGAAGATAAGATCAGGTGTACAAGCATCCTAGCTGAAAACAGCATGTGTCTCTGTCTTATCTCCAGATTGGAGACTTGGAGAAGAAAAGAAAATGAAAGGACTGAGCATGCAAAGAAGAAGCGAGCAATACTGGAGCTCCAGAAATTGCAGCATCTCCACTTTCCAACAAGCCACTGGTTCTGTGCTCGCCCAGCCACTTCCCAGCAATGTAAGCCTTTTTATTCCCAATAACATGTAATATTTACACATGGGACAAGCGTAGGTAGGGAAAGGACTTGTGAATAAGGAGAAATCAGCACCCAAAATATGCCTCTTTTCATAGGTATGTCTCTAATTGAAACAGATAGTGTTAGGCATCATATTTATGGCTTGATTCAAATGATGGGTGACATTTTTCTAAGCCTGCACTAACTTTTTGAAAATCTTAATTTCAAGTGTGGAGCAAAGCAAACCCCTGGAATTTGTAAAGCGACTGCCTGGAACTAGCACCAAGTTCTCCAATAAGGGTGAAGTCCCCAGAGTTACTGTACACAGCCAGCCCTACATTCACTTTTCTGACAGTCATCTGGATGAGTGGGAAGGTTTGAAATGTAGGAGGGGAGTCCGTTCTGGGACACTTGTTGCTAAGGAGCATATAAAGGGGGCTTGACAGGAAAAGATAGTGTTGGGGTGCTTTATTGTGGTGGTAGATACTCAGATGTAACCTCCCACTGTGCTTCTCCAGATCTCGTTTTTTTGTAGTCTACCAGCTTTTCCCTTTCTCCACCATTGACCTTCTCCTTTCCACTCTGAAAAGTCTCAGAATCCACTTCCTACCTTAAAGAAGAACTTGAAACCCAACGGCCTCTGTGCTAGGCCCAAACACAGCTCTTCTCTAGTGTACAGCCCATGCACTGGTGTGCAGTGGAGTCTGGGAACCGTATATTTGATTCTCGGGTGATTTGAAGCAACCCAGCAATCTCCACTGAAGATCTAAGAAAGCAAATTTTAACAGGGAAAGATATCATGTAGGCCACATACAGAGGCAAGAGGGCCCTGAGTTCCTTTTTTATGGAAGGACAACAGTGCAAGAGAAGGGAGTTGCTTTGGAGACTCGGGTAGCAGACAGGCTGCATTGTGAATTCAAATGAAACAATGGTTTCAATAGGCCAGGACATCAGGACGCCCCTGTAAAAGTGGGATGTTCATTCCCCATATTATTAGAGATGGAGCAGAGTCATCTGATCCAAATCCAAACATCCTCACAATTCAGAGAAAAGCCCAAGTTGCAACATTCATCTCTGATTCCCCAACTTCCCCAAAGTTTGGGTGGTGCCTTAGATCAGAAGTTCCTGTCTGAACCCATCTCTGCTATTTACACTGTGCCCTTCCGGTTCAGAAATCATGCTGAATCTTTTCTAGAAAGACATGAAGATAAATTTCTTATACAAAAAAATGTTTCTATTTTTTTCTGTGTGCATTGTCTCATCTTACTTCTTTCATGTGGCATCTGATTCTCCCGCCGTTCTTGTGATCACCTACAAAAAATATGTATATCCCGAGGCACAGATATAAAGCTGTAGTCATTCTGAGTTGCTACTGAAAAGTAGGTCCGCCCAGTTAATTTCTTTTCCATTGTACTGGGTGGGGCAGTGATAGTTACACTTAGACACACACCCTTTCCTTTTTTGTAGTATTTTAGTTATTTTTACTACTGTCCAGGCTGACAACACAGCTTATTACTAAGGAAAATAAGTAGTTTCTCTCCTTTTTTGGTGAATAGTAAGTTCTAAAATAATTTTTTTTGGAGCTTCTGATTCAGACATTCTGTGCAGCAACTCTGCCTTGTCCAGCTGATGTATTGTCTATACTGCTCTAAAACATGTCATTTAAACCAGCACTGTAGTAGCAAATAATTGGCACAAACTTCCCTACCAGAAAGATACCTTAAAAATAAATAATATACACTTCTGAGTCTGCAAATGATTTCAGTTGTCCTGAAACAAAGACAACAACGTACAATTGCCAGTCTAGAGTACTGGATTCCTTATCCCAGGCATTTTGCGTTTACTGGTCCCTCGTCACAGGCACATAGCATTATCCTTCCACTCTGCTTTGTTATTAGGCTCAATCAGTGTATTGAAACATACAAAAGAATTCTGCTCTGTCAAGTGCTCCAAGGACAGGACTGTTGAGTACTGTATTTTAATAATCTACCTATCCACATGAAGACATCCAGCAGCAGGCAGAGCAGAGAGCAATGTGTTGGCCGAGCAATGTGTTGGCCAACCAAAACACAACGTGTATATCTCATTTGAAGCCTACCAGCCTTTGTGCTGCCACTTTAAAGGATAAGCTAAATCTTCTGTATGCGAGGCTCATGTCACCTTGTTCCAGAACAGTTTCACTCATTCTCTCCCTTCTCTTCATCCCATGTGGTTTTGGCATGGAAATAGTACTAGTAGGAATGTAATAAATCTTCCCAAATGACATGCAAAACCGCATTAAACTTGCCTGGTTCTGTTGCCTGCTCAAAATTCAGGCCAGCATCATGCAAAAAAAAAAGTTTAATTTAGAATTCACAAACCTTGTGAACAAACCGGGATTGATTTATGGTTTGACATCAAAACTAGGTGAAATTTGCAATTTTGCCTGGTTTCGATATGGGAATAGGCGAAGCTGAGCTTTACTGTAAGCTTTTGGCTTTCTTTGAACTCCACACTCAGCTCTAAATCTGGGGAGTGTGAGAGCAATTGTTAACCCACATGGATTAAAACCCAAGAAAATGTTGAGTGAGTTTTTGCAGAATGAAACAGCCGAGTTTTACTGGCTCTACTCTTTGTGCTCCTCTTTCTTACCTAATCTGTGCTGTATAAAAGCCAAATCACGGAGTCAGAAGTAAATATCCACTACTGCCCAAAAACTCGCTGCCTTGGTTTATTTGGTAAGGGCGTCTCTTCCCAGGGTAGCCTTAAGTATGTGGGTTATGCACAAGTTCTGCTTTTAGAATGGAGCAAATCCTGGCAGAGCTGAGGATCTGTCTCTAGTTCTGTAATTACTGTACAGAGCGCGGGTTTGGATCTTTTATTGCTTGCGTGTCACAGCACTTTTCAAGTTACCACTGGTGGATGAATCAGTAGAATAAATTTCCTAGATTAACTGTTGGGGGACGGGAAAAACCTTGGTTTGTTACTTTATAGATATAATGATCTGTTATTTCTATAGTATTGCTCTTTTATAATGATGTTTTAGTTCTGCCATAGCTGTGCCTGGTGCTTTACAGTTAAATGAAGCAGTTCTCTGCTCCAACTAGTTTACAATCTAAGGGCCACATCCTGCAAACCCTTTCTTATTTGAGTAGCTCCATTGGAATGCATAGGGCGATTCGCATAGGTCCAGGTTTTTAAAGGCATTTAAAGACATGTAGGCATTGTGGTGTTCAATGCCTTACTCATTTTCAAAAGAGATTTAGACACTTCGGAGCCATTCAATTGGATTTAGGCTCTGAAGTGCCTAAAATCCCTTTTGAAAATAAGACTTAGGCTCCTAAATCAGTTAGGCATTGCAAGACTGAATGCAGCAATGCCTGAATACCTTTGAAAAATCTGGGTCATAAGGACAACTAACCAGAGTGAGGCTTTTGTAGGATCAAAGACTGTAAATTATGGATTTTTAAAATCAACAAAACATTGACTGACTCACCCTTAATAACATAATTACAGTACCTGTCTGATGCATGTCCAAAAATAATCCAAATAAGATTATATAACAATAAAAAGGTTTTATTCCCAAAGGGAAAGAACAGTCAGACTTTCAACACCACAGATGTTTTGGCCCACAGACACCCTTTGGCTGTGTCAGAATGTAATATAATTAAAGGGACCTGGTCAACTTAAAACTCACTTATTTGAATTCCTTACCTATGTTAAATAACAACATCTTAGATTATTAAAATAGAAGGAATTTTAAAACTCAAATTTGCTTTGCACCGTTTATGCTGTTTACTACTTTGCATTCAGTTCAGTTTGAAGTGTGAAACTAGGTTGGTCTGTTTCATTCTCATTTCTACTCAGTCTCATTTTCTGGTTCTCAAGCAATAGCACATTGTTTTTGTTTTCTGTGTAGATGCTCAGCCTTTAAAAAAAATTCACTTCACCTTTGCTTTTACCTCTGCCCTTTTGTCTTTGCTTTCCATTAACTCTGTATTAAAAGGGGTGTCATGTGTAAGACATGGGTAATTGTCCCACTCTACTCAGGACTGGTAAGGCCTCAGACGGAGTACTGTGTCCAGTTCTGGGTGCCATATTTCAGCAAAGATGTGGACAAACTGGATAGAGTCCAGAGAAGAGCAACAAAAATGATCAAACGTTTAGAAAACCTGACTTATGAGGAAAGGTTAAAAAAAACCTGGGGATGCTTAGTCTTAAGAAAAGAAGACTGAAGGGAGGACCTGATAAGCCTTCAAATATTTTAAGGACTGTTATAAAGGATAGTGATCAATTGTTCTTCATGCCCGTGAAGGTATGACAAAAAGTTATGGGCTTAATCTGAAGCAAAGGCGATATAGGTAGATTTTAGGAAACACTTTTTAACTATAAGGGTAGTTAGGATCTGGAATAGACTTCCAAAGGAGGTTGTGGAATCCCCTTCATTGAAGGTTTTTAAAAACAGATTGGACAAACACCTGTCAGGGATGGTCTAGATTTACTTGGTCCTGCTGCAGCGCAAGCAGCTGGACTTGATGATTTAATAATAATAATTAATAGAGATATCCCATCTCCTAGAACTGGAAGGGACCTTGGAAGATCATCGAGTCCAGCCCCCTGCCTTCACTAGCAGGACCAAGTACTGATTTTGCCCCAGATCCCTAAGTGGCCCCCTCAAGGATTGAACTCACAACTCTGGGTTTAGCAGGCCAATGATCCCTCCAGCCCTACAGTTCTGTGATTCTGTGAGCACACACACGATTGAGTATTATTTGCATGAATACTCAAAGAAAGTGATTTTCACACTAAAATAATTGCAGATTGTTTTAAACTGGCAAAACCCTTCACCAGAGCCCTGATGCAGAGACAATTAAAAGATCTGACTTCACCCTTTGCATGTAGTGCAGTACAAGCATCTGCAGTTAGTCTGGGTAAACAACTGTGGTGAAAATTACAAATCAATAAATGCAATATGCCTAGTATATTTTATTTTGGATGTCTTACTGTTTGACACAACAGTTAGTGTTCCCCAAACTCATGGCCAGATTCCTGGCACATGAGCCATACTGTCAGCGAACTGCCTCCTTCACAGCTAGAATCACAGACTCAATGGCTTTGTGTGAATGTGATAAGAAAAAAAAATTGTCACCTCAGAAGCCATCCAATAAATTTTACAGTAGCCTGTTTTTTCTAGGAATGATGCCTTGGGCAAGGTCTGGCTGATCCGGAAGGGAAAGGTTTAATGTTTCAAAACATTCCCTGGTCCTATTTATCTACTCCAAAGCTCCAGTGGCTTCCTCACTCTTTCTTTTGCATATAGGAGTTATAACCAAGGAACAGAAACAAAGCAATGGGACTTCTGTGACTATGGGACTTTTGTGACCAATCACGGCTCAGTGGAATATTGAGTAGCCAATACTTGCAGCGAACTGTTTTTGATCAGTCCATAGAGAAAAAACAAATAAACGTTGTGCGGTAAATTTAAGTTAAAAACAAATCTGAGGGAATCATGGTCTGCTTGTAAATTGTCCTCAAGCAGAAAAAGTTACATGTATCAAGTAAATTATTCCCAAGGAATCATTCACTCAGCTCTAGCCACAGCACCACAGGGGATATAATTAATCAGAAAAATTAAAAGTATATTTACTGAGATTTTACAAAAATCCATCTTTAAATACATACCACTAATATTAGATTCTATAAATCCCTTCTTGGGACTAAAGCCAGCTGAGAGTAATCCTTAATAACCAATCCGAACAGTTCTATATCGAAAGACCATTGAAAGCAGGCCAACCAATCAGCAGCCTAATGACATCAAGAGAAAAAATAGACCCTGCACTGAAGATTTAATTCTGATTGTGACCTCAAGTGTATATCTTCTGATGTCATTTCTCAGGCTCTTGACTGATTGGCTACCATCTATTGAATAGGCCCTTTAGATGAATTAGCTGTAACCATTACTTTGGCCAAACCATCAGTGCTGTGGGGGTGGCAGCTCTTTCACATGGGCAAATAAAAGGCTGAAGCAGTGTAGGTTTGTTTGGATTTTGGGGCACATTTTAGACTTGGTTTGTAGCTCTTTAGGTTGCTGGTTTTACCTCTTATATTCAGTGACTATTGGCAAAGAGAAAAGCACATTCTTTCAGTGCAAAATAATATTTTCCTTAATCTAAACTAATGTAAAGTGCCCATGGCAGCATCTCTGCTAGAAATGTCCTTACTGACTATTCCCAAGGGGCAATGCTCTGGGCAGGGTTACAGGACACTGTGATAAAAACAGCCTACACGAGCTCTTGTCTATTTGTGCTAGCACCTGTGGGGAAGTGCTACCTTTTGGGAATAATGGGTACATAGATGCTGGTGCTGGGGGTGCTGCCACACTCCCTGGCTTGAAGTGGTGTCCATGTATATCCATTACAGTTTGGTTCAATGCCTCTCAGCACCCCCACTATAAAAATTGTTCCAGCAGCCCGGAACGGGTAACAGCATTTCTACTGCAGGCAAGACCTGTGTGAGAGAGAACTCAATGTGTCTTTCACTGTAAGATCCTCCACTTTAAATTCTCTCTTAGCCCTAACAGGCAGGTAAGTGGACTTCTTTCATAGAAGACAGAATACCACTGTCCCACAATTTCCTTTAGCTCAGCCTATTGCTGTTTGCAAATTTAAAGGAAATAGTTTCAATCTCCAAATAATTCAGTTTATGAATGCCAGATAAAGAAGATTTATCAAACAAGCTTCACACTCTTCCTTAATTAAGATAATATTAAAGTATGGAGAAGAGAGCCGTCGAGGCAGGTGTTTCGGTTAGGGATGTGTTTGAATAAAAGAATACACTGCCAAAATCATGTAATCCATACTCCCATAGATACTGTGTTGCTGCAGTGATTCCCGCAAAAGAATAGGCCAAATTCAGAGGTGCTGGGTAAGATTTACCCTTTACTCTGGAAGGGAGCTCAGATACCTGCTAATGTGCTTTGCCTGAGAATCTATATGGAACAGACTAGAGAGAGACTAGAATAGGTAGTTTAGGTTATATATAGGCAAAAAGAAGAACAGGAGTACTTGTGGCACCTTAGAGACTAACAAATTTATTAGCGCATAAGCTTTCGTGGGCTACAGCCCACTTCTTCGGACGCCGTTGTCCTCCGAAGGGTCAGCTCTGATAAAATAGGTAGG